ATTTCAAAAGGTAGCATATGATCAAAAACCAGTGATACTGTAGGAAGAAGTCCAAGCTTCACTGAAGGCACTGGCAAAAAAACAAGGCTCCAGGAATTGATGGAATACAAACAGAAATACTTCAACAAACTGATGCAGCACTGGATGCAGTAACCTGGACATTGATTGAAAGAGATCCACATTTGTACCATTCCAATGAAAGATGACCCAATGAAATGCAGAAATCATAAAAAAATATAATAAATAAATTCAAGCCAGATTCAGAAGAGGGCTGGAACTAGGGATATCAGTGCTGATATGAGATGGATCTTGGCTGAAAGCAAAGAAAGATAATTATCTGTGGTTTACTGATTATGCAAAGGCTTTCAACTGTGTTGATCATGACAAGCTATGGACAAAATTGTGGAGGGCATGTATTCCAAAAATCTTCATTGTGCTCACGAAGAACCTGTACGTAGACCAAGAGGCAGTTGTTTAAATCAGGAAAAGGTGTGAGCTAGGATTGTACCTTTTCACCATACTTATTCAATCTGTATGCTGAACAAATAACCTGAGGAAAGTATGAAAGTAACATGGCATCAGGAGTAAAGGAAAATTCATTAACAATCTGCTATACGTAGATGATACAACTTTGCTTGCTGGAAACAAAGAGGACTTAAAATACTTACTGATGAAGATTAAAAACTACAGCTTTCAATGTGGATTACAACTCAGTGTAAAGAAAATGAAAATCCTCACAACTGGACCAATAAATAACATTATGATAAATGGGGAAAAAAAAAATACTGACATTGTCAAAGACTTCATTTTGCTCAGATCAACAATCAACGCTCATGCAAGCAGCAGACAAGAAATCAAATGATGTATTGTATTAGGTAGATCTGCTGAAAAATATTTCTGTAAAATGCTCAAAAGCAAAGATACAACTTAAGGACTTATGTGCACCTGACTCATCATGGTATTTTCAATAGTCTCATATGCATGTGAAAGTTGGACTGTAAATAAGGAAGACCACAGAAGAACTGATGCAGTTGAATTCTGGTGTTGGAGGAATATTGTCTTGGAAGAAGTGTAGCTGGAATGCTCCTTAAAAGCAAAGATGGCAAGACTTCAGCTCTCAAGTCTTTGAACTTGTTCTCAGGAGGGACCAGTCCCTGGAGAAGGACATCATACTTGGTAAAGTGGAGGCTCAACAGAAAAGAGAAGACCCCCATCAAGATGGGCTGACACAGTGGCAGCAGCAATGGACTGAAATGTAACAATAATTGTGAGGATAGTGAAGGACCAGGCAGTGTTTCATTCTGCTGTGCATAGGGTTGCTATGAATAGATTCAATGGCATCTAACAACAATATGTCATATTCATGAATTGTAAGAATTAATATTATTAAGATGTCAATTCTCCCCAAATTAATTTGTGGATTCAATGTCATGCTAATAAGAATCCTAGCAGGCTTTGGTTTCTAGAAATTGGTAAGATAGTTCAAAATTTTATGTGAACATACAAAGGAACCTATATATTGAAAACAAAACAACAACAACAAAAAAATACTTATACTACTTGATGCTTACGTCGCAGTACCATCAAGTTAATCCACAGTGCAGTACTAGCTCAAGGACTGACTTAATCACTGGAACAAGATACCATGTCTAGAAACACACCTGCAATGAGAAGGTTTTCTGCTTCTCAAACAAAGATGCCAAAGCACTCAATGGGGAAAGGGAAGGCTTTTCAACAAATCAAAGTGGAAGAACTGGGTATGGAAAAAACTGAACTTATCACACACACAATATACACAAATAGTAACTCCAGTTGTCTCATACACCAGAATATAATATCCAAAACCACAGAGCATTAAAAAAAAGGAGAGAGACTATCTTTGTGACTTAGAGGAACACAAAAACCAATAACCATGAAAGAAAAAGTGCTAAGCTAAGCTTCGTAAAAAATTTTTAACTTCTGCTCATCAAAAAACAGTTAAGAAAATGAATAGGCACACATACGTGGGGAGAAATCAGGATCCCATTCAGTGTCTACCACCACCACTATCCCCATCCCACCCCACCTCCACCCCCCTCCCCGATGGACCTCCTCCCATACCAGACCATACAGAGTCCTTAGTAATAGTTATTGTATTCATAGCCTTGTAAATCCTAACTCCCGAATATCACTGAATGTAATGGCAGTAATAAATTAAAACTACACCTTTACTCACAATAGTGGGAGCAGGCAAAACCATGGGATTCGAAGCACCGTTCTAACTGGGTAACAATGACAGCTCTGGCTGGAGCCCATGAGAAGGTTCAAAAAGTAAATCAGCATGAGCTTTAGCCTCGTAGGCATATGGATACATGTAAGCCTGACTTAACAAAAGTGTTTTTGTTGTTTTAACTAACTACAGGGTTTTTTTTGTTTTTTTGTTTTTAAATAAATTTCTGCCAAAACACTGAACAAAAATTGTAGACAGTCACTTTGGTGTCCCCCCGCCTCCTCTGACTGCATCATCTGGTGTAGTCTGCACCCCTCCACACACCTAGTGATGCTGTATAGTGACTCTTACTTTGAACTCATCTGAGATTTCAGATACGAAAGAAGAGATCTGCTTCATGAGTCTGTCCACACTGCTCTCACTTCCTGTTTTGAGGAGTGTCGTAATGGCCAGGGTAGCAATGCTTCGGTTGGAGTCTGTGATCAAGTTCTCTAGGTCCAGATTGCAGGCAGTAACAGCAGAGGGATGCTTCATTGCCACCTTGTGGAAGGGCAAGAAGTAAAGTTAGGCAAGTTGCTGTTGAGAAAGGTCAGATTTAAAGGAAAAAAAAGACAAAGAGATAGAAATAGTCATTAAAGTCAGGGCTATTTTGGTTCTTTATATTCAGAAAATAATAGATTACAAGTAATTCTCTTAAGAAAACCATCTTCAAGTACTAAGGTATGCCATTTGATCGATGACTCATATAGCACAGCAGTATCCCTTAGGCTCCTATAGTCTTTATAGCAGTATCACAGTCTGCCTTTTATTATCAATGGCTTGTTTTTATATTACCATTGTTGTTAAGAACCAGAAAGTCAGTCTGACTCATAGCGACCCTGCATAAGGTTCCCAAGGAGTGGCTGGTGGGTTTGAACTGCCATTGGTTAGCAGTCCAGTGCTGATCCTAAGTGCCATACCAGGACCCTTTATTACAGTTAGTTATGTACATGTACATTTACTCTATTAGATGTTAGGATCTCTGCAAACAGAACTGAGCATGGGAACACCGCTTAACAAATATTGTTAATTATCTCTTAGAAAATGTTTCTGATTTTAACAAGCACACTGTGGCCAACCTGGATGATATGTGGTTGTTAGACACACGTCATTCTCCAGCTTCCTTGCTTTGTTCATATTGCTCTACCTCTCTGCTTACCCCAATACTGGCTCACGATCCCTTGCTCACAATTTTAAAATCCAGAACACACTATAAACCAAAATGTTGGCATCAAAATTCACTTAATTGCAAAACATAAACCTGGACTGATGTAAAACGATTCCATTCTTCATTTATTCCACTTAATGATGACGCTGTAGGATAAGATGCTAAACATAAGGTCTATGGTTCAAATCCATCAACCATTCCTCAGAAACCCTATACAGGGTCTCTATGAGTCAGAACAGGTTCCACGGAATACAAACATCAGAATCCTCATTACAAGTGAGGATGGCAAGACTTTTTTGGCTCATGTACGTTGGCCATATCATCAAGAGGGACCAATCCTCAAAAAAGGGCATCATGCTAGGTAGAGCAGAGGGTCAATGAAAAAGAGGATCCCTCAATGAGATGGACTGGCACCAGGCTACAACTATGGGCTCACACCTAACAATTGTGAGGATGGTGCAGAACGAGGCAGTGTCTTGTTCCGTTGTACCTGGGATTGCTGTGAGTCAGTTCACACTCAATGGCACCTACCAACTATAATGACAATCAATACGTTTTTTGTTAAAGTATGGCTATATCTAGGGGTGGGGTACTACTCAAAGTTCATAGGGACTAGTATATAGTACAAAGACAGCATCATATTGCCTTTCTAAAATTCACAGAAAACGCAATTCTGACACACATTTAGCTTCAAAATTATAGATGCTGGATCAATATCAGCTCCTAATGATAAAATTAAAATTGTTCTATAGAAAAGCTTCTTCCATGCTACTCTAAATTCTCTCTCCAATTGTTCATATAATTAGCTTATTAAGCTGATGATAGTGGTACTGCCTTATGATAGGTCTGTCACATGAAACTTTTATTTTAAAATGTTCTATGGCTATTTAATTTATTACTTCTGTGCTGCACTTACTAGCCTTATGCTGTTTGATACAGTAGCCAGTAGCCATATGTGACTAATGAACATCTGAAATGTGAATAGTCCAAATTGAAATATGCTATAAAGTGAAAAAAACTATATACTTGATGCTGAGGACTTGGTATAAAAGAATTACAAATAAAAAGAAAACACTTTAATAATTTTTATACTGATTACATGTTGAAATGACATCTCAAATATATTAGCTTAAATAACACATACTATTAAAATGAATTTAACCCACTGAATAGTTTTCATCTTGTCTACATGGGTCTGGTTAAAAGAGATGGGGACAAGATTCTTATGATTCAACAGTGAGTAATTGTTACCATGACTAATTGCGACTGTCACAATTGTAAATGAAGAAGTTTTGTAACAAAAATGGGGCAGTAGTTAGTCTTAACAGTCCAAATACAAAGGAACCTAAGACCATCAAGGGAGAGGAGCAAAAGCAGAATGTGAGACCTTATCCAGAGAAGCAGCGATACCAGAGATGGAGGTAAAGACAGGGACAGAGAGAGGGAGCAGCTGAGGACTCTAGATTCATGTGAAGAGAGGGACTAAGAGATGGCGGCCAGGAGGTAGACTTACAGAATGTGCCCTTTGGTGGTGTCAATTATTATATATGCCTGAGTGGTGTATTTTTGTTTTTTTGTTTGTTTTTTTTAAAGTGACTAGAGTGAAATACTGTTAACTGATGGTACATGGAGGAGATTATAATCATTGTAATGAACAAAGGTGTATGATTTATTGAATGCAAAACGATGATCTGCCCTGTAAACTTTCACTCAATCCACAATAAAAACCTTAAAAATAATGATAATAAAATAAAATCAATTTCATCTCTAAAACACTTTTACTATGCAATTTAAAAGCACATATGTAGCTCTCATCAGGTTTCTAATGGGTAGTGCTGGAACAGAACAGCTCCCCCCACGAGGATTTCCGCAGTGCTGGAAATGGTCTGTATCCGCACAGTTCAACAGGAGCGCGACTAACTAACCACAGCTGGCTACTGAGCACATGGAAGGGGCTAGTGTTACTGAGGAACTGAATTTTCTGTTTAGTTAATTTAATAGAAACAGCCACATTGGGCTAAATGGCCACCATGCAAGACAGTGTGATTCGTGACTAAAAAGTGCTTATTAAGACATCAAGAAATAAATTATGTTCTTCAGTTGATTGACCATAAAAATGGCCACACCAAAGGCCATCAATCCAAGTGAAATCTACAAGTCACATCTATTAACCTTGGAGAAAAAGTAAAATGCTTCACACTCAAGATTTGGCAATCAATCACTGATATCAGTCAACAGTTAGGAAAGAGTCACTTACTTTGTTCAAGGTCCTCACAGCTGCGTATCTCAAGGCTGGCTTAGGAGAGCTACAGAAAAGCTGAAGAACTAAAACCAGAAAGAACAAATCACCACACGGTAAATACGGCTCATTTCATCATATTTTATATACCTGAAAGTATAGTACCCAAAGAACCATACTCAGATTCTACATACTGATTAGCTCACAGCATCAAGTTAACAAAGGGCATCATTTGCTGAATGCAAAACTGATGATCTGTCTGTAAACCTTTATGCAATTCACAATAAAATGTTTTTAAAAAAATTTACATGAAAAATGTATCATGCAAAAATGCACTATTTGTTTAGTTATAAAAACCTTAAAAGAACAGACAACAAAATTTGTTCTTCTAAAATAATCAATAGATTCATTACATTTTAATTTAACACAAAATGTTTCAAATTAGGAGAGCAAATAGTTTCAAGTTAGGAGAAAGTTAGGGTAGTATTAAAGTTACTTTCTAAGTAAAAAGTGTTCACAAGTTTTATATGGAAAAGCAGTAACTTGAGAAAATAAAGTTACATAGTAAACAACAACTAAAATAAAGTGCCTACAGATAAGCTATCAGAATGCAAAAGTTCCATATACAACACTAAGGTTTCAAAGCAAGTCTTCACACCTATCCTGCAGACCTACAGATGCTAAACATAGCAATATAAAGACAGTGAGCTATCCAACACACAACAAACCTGAGACGGCGGGTGCCAGCTCCCTCGCAGTGCAGTTAGGAAGATGGATGATGGCAGAAGCAGCTTCATAAATAACCATCTCGTGTTTATTTCGCAAGCAGCTCTCAATAAAATCAAAGAGTGGACTTTCATGGCTGCCAATAAATACATACAGGCCATGATTTAGAGACCACGTACAACAGCACATTACACACAATGGTTAAAAACACGGACAGATCAAGAAGCACTTCCAAAATCATGGCGGATGGGCCTCTGAAAATCCACTATGAATATCCATAAAAGCAGTAAGAAGACTAGCAAAAACTGTCAAAATCAACCTTTTAGAACTCTAAAAATTAACGAAAGGCTTGCAACAATTCTAGCACATTTTTCAAGAAAACAAAACAAAAACAGTTTAATCTTGGTAAGAATCGTGAGCTTTCTGGAGTTTTAACTTGCCCTATGTCTGCCCTTCCCTCCAGTTCCATAGTAACTTTGGAAACCAGCAGTCTAGTAGTCAGTGGAGAGGGAATGATGTTTGGAGTTCCCCAAAAGGTCCCATCCTCAGCTAATTTTTATCTAACCAACTCAGTGCTTGTTTAATGAAAATAGCTCTATCCCCAAGTTAATATAAAAAAAGAAACAAAACACCATACTTATTTAGACACACACCTGTTTGTAGTGGCAATACCAATCGTGACAAGCAAGAGGAAGGTCAAAGTAAAAGGGAATGAGACACTGATAGGGAGCCCTAAAAATCAATGACCTTTTCCTGGAGATCTAGAAGGCCATACACATGCCGGGGAAGACTGACAGAATGCTACTTCCTCACTTCTGCTTGACTTTGAGGCTCTGCACAAGCAGGAAGTGAAGGCTAAGGCCACGTTAGACATGGCTGGAGCATGGAAAGCCTCCCCTAACATACAAACAGTCTCTTGGAAAACAGTGTGAGATTTACTGGTTTAAAACTTTTAAGAAAATCTGTCTAATCACTTTCTGACCATATAGCTAACCAAACACTTAACTCCAGTGGCAATACACAATAAAGAATATACCATATTTCTACACAAATAACATGCGCTCTGGTACTAGGAGCTCTGGTAGTGTAGTAGTTACAAACTGGGCTGCGAACCACAAGGTCAGCAGTTCGAAACTACCAGCTGTTCCATGGGAGAAAGATGAGGCTTTCTGCTTCTGTAAAGATTACAGCCTCGGAAACCCTGTACAGGGGGTCACTGTGAGTCAGAATGGACTCCATAGCACATAACAACAACAACAACAACATGTGCTTTCTACATCTGCTTGTCAACCACTCCCTTCCCAGGAAATTGTTCTGTAAACATACTATGCAATTTTTTTTTTTTTTTTTAAAAAAAAAAGGAAAAAAAAAAAAAAAAAAAATCATAATAAATTTGCATGGCTGCATTTACACAATTGGCTGGGGGGAGGGGGGGAAGTAGACAAGCAAATGTAGAAGATGTATGTTACCTGCATCCAAACTCAGCAGACTTTACAGAAGTATTCCCAGGTTCACTAAACCAGAAAAACCAACAACTGTAAGTACAAGGGATAGTGGGGGTACAGGTGGGGCAGGCAGATCTGATTACCAGAGGAGCCACATTGTTTTTGTCCAGTTTTGACAAAACTACGAGAAGATATGCAATGAAACAGAAAAAGTATGGCCTGAATACAGACAAAAAATGGTCACTAGAAACTATTTCTGAGGAAATCCAGATGTTGGAACTATTAGACAAAGATTTTAAATAAGCTACTGTAAAAAAAAAAAAAAAAAAAAATCAAACAACTAAAGGAAACTAGGTCTAGAGAATTAGAAGTCTGAAAATGACGTATCACCAAAAAAGAAAGTATCGACAAAATGAATGAATGATTTTTTTTTTTTTTTTTTAAGAAACCAAATAAAGATTCTGGAGAAGTACAGTAACCAAAATGAAAAATTCATTAGAGAAATTCGACAGCAGATTTGAGCTTGCATAAGAAAGAACAGCAAATGTGAACAGAGATCACTTGAGATTATCTGAGCAGCAGAAAGAAAAAAGAATGAATAAAAATGAACAGAATCTCAGAAACTTGTGGGACATCAGCAAGTATATTAACATTTACATAACAGGAATCCCAGAAGGAAAGGTGAAAAAAAAGAAAAAAGAAAGAATTTAAAGAAATAACAGCCAAACTCTCTAAAAGTGATGAAAAACAATCTAGGAAGCGTGTCTAAGTTAAACAAAAATGAAGTTAAGTAAAAGAGATCCATACAAAGACACATCATAGTCAAAGTGTTGAAAGCTTAAGACAAAATAGTTCAGACAGCAACAAAAGGAAAACTACTCATCACACTGGATAGGCGAGCATCAGTACAACAATGGAGGCCAGAAGGAAGTACTCTGCCTTATTCAGTACTGAAAGAATAAGACTATCAACCAAGAATTCTACATCCAACAAAAAGGATCCTGCAAAACTGAAGGTTAAATATATTTCCAGATAAGCAAAGACTGAACTGCTAAGACACCTGCCTTACAAAATATACTACAGGAAATCCTTTAAACTGAAAATTGACTCTAGACAGTGACATGAAATTCATACGGCGTAAAAAGCAACAGAAAAGGTAACTATGTAGGCTGGTTCTGATTCATAGCAACCTCATGCACAACAGAACAAAAACCTGCCCGATCCTGTTGTTATCTTTGAGCCCACTGTTGCTGCCAGATGTCAATCCATTTCACTGAGGTCTTCCTCTTCTTCGAGGCCTACTTTGCCAAGCATGAGGTCCTTTCCAAGAGACTAATCCCTCCACATACCAAGAATGAAGAGTCTCACTGTCCTTACCTCTAAGAAGCGTTCTGGCTGCACTTCTACCAAGATAGATTTCTTCATTCTTCTGACAGTCTGTGGTACTTTCAATATTTTTTGCTAACACCATAGTTCATAAATCAACTATTCTACAGATATATGTGGGTTGATATAAACTATGTAGTTATTTTCCCCTCACTTCTTAATTACTTTAAGGATAAACTGAAAAAGCAATCGTTATAATAACATACTGGCAATAATAGCGCAAAGGCAGAGAGGGAAGGAACAGTAAGCCAGCCCAAACCCACTGCCACCGAGCGGATTCTGACCCTTAGTGACCCTACAAGGACAGTGCCACAGCCCCAGAGGGGTCCCTAGGTTGTCATCTTTACAGAAGAAACTGTGTCTTTCTCTCATGGAGTGGCTGCTGGATTCAAATGACCAGCCTTTTGTTAGGCCGTCCAGCCTTGACCATTGTGCCACCTGGGCTCTTTTAGATTGGACCATTCACACATTTTTATTGATGTGGTTAGATTCCCCTTTGCCACTTCGATGTTTGTTTTCTGTATGTCTCCAGATTCGTTTTGTTGTTGCTGCTCCATTTTTTTGTTGTTGTTAAAATGTATTTTTGTGTATCATTTTAATTCCTCTGTTGATATTTTAATATTTTGTTTCATTGTTTTCTTAGCATCTCCACTTGTCAAAATCTACTTCAGATTAATACAAACTTAATTTCAACAAAATATAGAATTTCTGCTCCAATATCAACAGCAGAATTTAAATGATAACACTGAAAATATGTACTTAACATAAGAAAGGAAAGGAACAAAAAAGATAGGAAACACTGAAAAAAAATATAGCAAAATGGCAAAAGGAAATGAAATTTTATCAATAATTTTCTAACCACCTTAACCAAAAGACAAACAATTGAGAGATTCAACCAAACATCTATAGGAGAAATTCCTTAGATTAAAAGGATAAATGAAATGAAAATAAATAGATGGATAAAGATTATGACATATAAACAGTAAGACTAAGAGATCAGGACAGGCTATATTAATATTAAACAAAAGAGAATTTAAGACAGAAATATTACTAGAAACAAAGACATTCCATAATAATGAAAGGGTCAAACCATCCAGAAAATAAAACAATTTCAAATAAGCTGCTGGTGTTAGGTGCTGCCAAGTCAATTCCGACTCATAGTGACCAACAGGCCCAGTACTGGACCATCCTCCTAGCTGCTGCCATGTGTGAACTCACTATGGCAGCCAATGTGTCAATCCAGCCCATGTGTCAGTATGACGTCTTACTCTAGTCCACGGGCCCTCTACGTTTCCAAGTATGATGTTCTTCTCCAAGGACTTGGCCTTTGAGATAACATGTTTAAAGTGAGTGAGACAAAGTCAATTCTTGCTTCTAAGGGCATTCTGGCTGCACTTATTCTAAGACAGATTCGTTCATTCTTCTGGCAGTCCATAGTATATTCAATATTCCCCACTAACACCATATTTTAAATGCATCCATTCTTCTTGGGTCTTTCTTATTCACGTGCTAGCTTGCCCATGCACACGTGGGCAATGAAAAGACCATGGCTTGGGTCAGGAGCACCTTAGTCCTCAAGGTGACATATTTGCTATTTTCCTCTTTTAAAGAGCTGCTTTGCAGCAAATTTGCCTAATGCAATATATCATTTGATTATCTTGACTGCTGCTTCGCTGGGCATTGATTAGAAATCCAAGTAAAATGAAACCCTTTCTCCATTTATCATAATACTGCTTACTGCTCCAGTTGTGAGGATTTTTGGTCCTTGTTGAGGAACAATCCACACTGAAGGCTATAGTCTTTGATCTTTATCAGTAAGTGCTTCAAGTCTTTCCTTTCTTTCAGAAAGGAAGGTTGAGTTATTTACACAGCACAGGTTGTTAATGAGTCTTCCGCTAATCTCGAGATGCCACTTTCTACTAAACTATTTGCTAAATTCACAGACTGAATGGAACCCTGGTGTGGCACTGTGGGTTAAAGCACCAGACTGCAAAGCCATCTGACCTGCAGGGTCGGCAGTTCAAGCTTACCAGCTGCTCCTCAGAAACCCTATATAGGGTCACTATGGGTTGGAGCCAACTCGACGGCACTTTACAACATCAGACTGAATAAGTATAGTGAAAAGATGCAACTTGAACACACACCACCTGATTTTAAACCACGCAGTATCTCCTTAGTCTATGTACAGGTTCCTCATGAGCACCATGAAGTGTTCTGGGATTCTCATTCTTGGCAATGTTATCCATAATTTGTTATTATATACACAGTTGAATGCCTTTGTATAACCAATAAAACACAGGTAAAC